AGGACTTGTTGACTAAGGATGATTTGCTGGTAATATGGATCTTGATTGCTCAGTTCATTCATGGCAACAAAGGCAAATTAAAGCACACAATTAAGAAAGGCTATTTAGTATCTGGGATGGTCTTGCAGGCCTGGATGCTGCACTTACTACTGTGAGCATGATGGTAATTGTTCATGAAATACCAAAGTTACAGTCACAGGGTATCCTAAATCTTCAGAGAACAGACTACAGACTGCTACCTATAGATCTGAGCTACTCAGAGATGACTGAAAATGACTGTGAAGTTAGTGATGAGAACAGGCCGTGCAATGCTGCCTTTCCTCTTTGTTACTGCAACTTGTTTGGTCCAGAGCAGAAGCCAAAGCATAACATAGATGGAAACCTGTGCTAAAAGTACTGAAAATTTAATGATAACAAGTTTTCTCATGTCTAGCAATACAATTGTTCATCTACTTGCTGTAATGTCAGACAGTATGATTAAGGACTGCACTAGACTGAGTCTTGTCAAATCTTTAAATTCTGCCTTGTACTATTTTGCTGGTTAGTCTGTCTCATTAGTATGTGTTCCTTATTGCCTTTGGTTGCCTAACCCCTTTGCTTGTAGGGTGCCTACTTCCTTCTCTGTACTTCAGGAAATTTTTTCACAAGAGTCTGGTGGGAAAATAGACTCAATGCTTCTTATAGGGCATCAAAGATGTTCTCGAAGAATAGAGGACATTTTCATTTCAAAGAACCTCAACAGACATTTTCATTTCAAAGAAAAAAGACTAGTTTTCATCATAACCTAGATAAGAGGAGGCCCAGCATTTAATTTCTACTTCTGTTTCTTTCTGTAAGTTCAGACTTTACTTGTCTTAATTGACTGTAGTCTTTTAGCGCTTGCAGTGTACCTGGCTCTCAGGAAATAAAATAGTGGAGTTGAATCGTTACCAGTAATGAATCTTGAGAGTCCTTGTGGTAACAAAATTCTTAGTGCATTCTTAATGGTTGAAATTACACACTTAAATTGTATGTATCTGCATCTGGATGACCTCCTGATCCAGGGAAAGTCTTGTTAGGAGGTACTAAGGCAAATTTGTTTGTAGTCCTTCCATGTTGGGACACCTGGAGATACGGAAGAGCTGTCTTGTTGGACAGAAATCCTGTGAGCAGTAGTTAATTTCTCACTGTCAAATGCTTATTTTCCAGAGGACAAGTTCCAAGTCCTTCAGAAATATATGGAAACATATGTGAGCACTTCTGGAGTATTACTCCTGTAAGGTCACATGTTCATGGTACACTTCACCTAAAGTTGCTGGCAATTTTTAATGCTAGTTTGAGCCACCACGCTTTGCTTCGCTCTTGCAGTTTGCAAAAAACATGGTATTGATGATTTGCTTATATAAAGTTGTTTTGCTTTAGCAGTTGAGTGCTCAAAGATGTCGAATGTGCTTGTAATACCCGATTTGCTTCACCAGTCCCCTTTGCACACTGCTGCTTGGCTCCTCATCATGCTACTTAAGATCAGCTTTTAGTCCATGCTACAGAGGAAAAAGAGGAGCAGTGGTACATAGCAGGCTTTCCTCTACAACTTGGCTGGCTCTATGCATGCACACAGGAAGAGATTTCTTGCGTGGACTCTGCTGGAACATGGAGAGACTGATCCACCCCTAACAAGCTGACACACATTCTGCATGTTCCTGCTGATAAGAATCACATTCTTTCCCAGTTCCTTGACAATTAGGCCCAGTGTCTTTGCTGCCAAACAATTTCGTTCTTTAAGGCTGGCAATGTCAAAGATTTTCTGTTAAATTTTCTACCTATTTTAAACTTAGATATCACATGCAGATCTCTAAAATCAGCAGACAAGAATGAGATTTACTGCCTTGGTAGATTAGCTGTGTTTTGGAGTAAGTGCTCTATATAGTTAGGCCAGATGATCAACATCTGGCCACTTTAGCTCAGTCCTGAGTGATCAAATCTATTCAGGGATGGAAAGGTATGTTTGTAAATGTAGGAAGTATGTTGCTTGTTTGTGTTTCATGCTTCTTGTTTGTTCTGTGATAGACTAACATGAGTGCAGAAGAAGTAGTACTTATACAAGAGGACTTGCCCTCAAGGGTATTAAACAAGATGCACTTAACTGGTCATAGATAAAACACAGAAGTAAATGAGACCGTGTTGATTAGCATAAGTAAAAAGTGCATTGGCCGTGTCCTAGCAACCTGCCTTGTGTTCTCCATAAAAGAGATTTTTAAGGAGGAAACTGAAAGGAATTAATATTTCACCTATTTAAAAATTCTTCATTGAAATTCAAGCAAATGGAAGGGGAGAGAGTCAATGTTTTTGGTTTGAAAATCTGACAGATGGGCTAGGGAAACTCCTGGCAGTTACAAGTGAGCCCGTTGATACTGAATAATATGATAATGATGAGGAGAACTGAAACAGATGCTGGAAAGAGATACCATTCTTAAAATTAATTTATAAAATTTTGGATTACAAGATTATTATCCCAAGCAGTTATTACAAAGAAATAGGAGAGACTATTTCTAGTAACTAAGCAATCAAGGGCTTGCAATAAATCCAGCTCTTTCATTGTCCTTGTCTGTGGTCTTTCGTTATGGTAACTTTCTTAATATCCTGCATCTGACAAAAGAACGAGTTTTGGATACAGAAGATGTATGTAAGTACTAATTATTTTGTTAGAACTTGGTACAAATCAAGGTAATGAGATTTAAATAACTACCTACTAGGAAGGGATGTACAAACCAACTGTAGTATATGGTGCTCTGTCCTGCTGCTGAGCTCATTCAGACAGAGTATGATGTGCCTTGTGAACAATGAATTTAGTTGTTCCTCATTGTGCTTATGAAGGGAAACAAAAAAAAACCCCACCACAAACAACAAAACCTAAACTCATTCTTTCTTGTTTCAGAGTTTTACTTTGCCTTTACAACATCACTGTGTATCTCTGTATTACTGCATTTAAATTTAAAATTAGATTTTGTTATTCTTACAGCTCTTTAGGCACAATGAGTATGTGCTAGAAGAAGAAATAATATGTATGTTCTAGTAAGCTTTTCTCTTTGGGAGCTTTTCACTTTGTAATCAATGAATCACTGGTAGGCAATTTCTCTTAGCAGTTCTTCATCTGCTAGAAAGAAGGAAAAATGGTAGGCTTACTAGAAGAAGAGGCTCAAAGGAAGATGCCTTCTGTTCCTTGGTTTCTTGTGGTGGTTCTTTTCTACATTGAAGTGGTGCTCTAAAAATGCATATGCTTTTGCCCAAATGAAGAGAATAGTAACTCTAGGCCTCAGTCTCCTATTTTTTCTGCAATTAGAAAAAACGGAGCATTCAGTCATGTTAGAAAGGGATTTTGCAAAAGAAGCAAGACCCAAAAGCTTAACCACAGGTCTAATTTATTCACAGCTTGAGTTGGCCCACAACAATCTTTGAAGTAGTATTTTTGTGAATTCTGAAGCCATGTAGAAAGAGTAACTGATTTTTTTACATTTTCAAAGAACAGACAATTTGTTTAACTTTAGTAAAAGTAAATGCAGTATTTTAACATTTAGATGTGTGCTACCAACTATGCAGATGGGTTCGAATAACACTTTTGGCTTCTATTTCATGGGAATCCCCACTTGGATTATTGTAGGGGGAAGTATGACATTGAATGCAAGATTCCTCTTCCTTCTCCTTCCTCCATCCCCTCCCTACCCCCTGCCCCTCCCCCCCCCAAAAAAAAAACCTGTGTTCGCTTGAGTCTTTTCATGGACTGATAAAACTGGTCCTGAAGATGATTTTTATATGTTCAGTAATTTTTGCAGCAGTTTTGCTTTTTGTAGGTTTTGTTATAATCCATGATTCTTTGGTTGTGGGTTGTTGGGAGTTTTCTTTTGTTTGTTTGGTTTGGTTTTTTTTTTCTAATTCCTGCATACATAGAAAAGGAAAAAAAAACACCCTCATGTTTTCTAAGAACCTGTGAGTGTAATGACATTAAAACAGAGTAGCAGCATGATGATGTGTATTACTGGCTTGATGATTTTTGATGTGACTAATAGTAATACAAATATTTATTTTACTTTGTGGTTCTTTACAAAGTAGCTGAAAATTCTTTCACAGGCTTGTGGTTGCATTAGTTATGGAAGTTTAGTGCCCTCTTATAATCTGTTGCTTGATGTTACATTGCTGGCACAACTTGTGTGGTCACTTTACACTAAGATGAAGAGGATAATGAGATGCTGCTAAAGGAGAGTGGATACTTCTGGCCTCTGGTTTACACTCATTTCCCAGTGCTGTGACAGTACAACTTTGTGGCTAAAAAGCATTCTGGAGTTCTGCCTCAAGGTGTTTTTGAAGTTCTTGTGTTTACACTCCTTTGCCACTGAAACTAGATAAAAACTTTGGCAGCTTAACCAAAAAGTACCTTAATAATGATGGGAGAGGGAATCTGTAGTGATGTATATGAAATCTGGAATTGAGTGTGTTATTACCAGTGATAAATATATTTTTTCAATGTGACTTTAAAAAAAAATTATGCATAGAGCTTCCACTCCTAACACATTTAAATGAAGGGCATATCCAGCCTGTGTGTGCATCTGGATTTAAAAAAAAAGTCCTCTAAGCAGTTTGAGAAAAAGATGCTGTTACTGGCTTGCTGAGAGAGGATTAATTAGGAAATGTCTTCCCTTATCTGGATTTCTAGAAGTTACAGTGGTTCACTTTGTCTTAGCAGAGAATTATTATACAGAACACTAGACACTTTATTAAATAATTGTTATTATGTATTTGTTCTCTGTGTCTTGGTACTTTTGTTAAATTTGAAGTTATTTGCTAGACAGCTATTCAGTTGTCAGATGAAGGGATCAGCTTGAAATAACTTGTAATAGAGTATGATGTTTGAATAACTAAAAGCCAGGGAAAAACTTGAAATTTGGGAGATCTCCATGAGAATTTTTTTGCATAAATACTAGCTTTACTCTGCATACCTTTTATTCCCCCCCTTCCCTTTTCTCCAGTACTGATACTCGAAAAGGTGGAAAATGGAGATCTGAGCAACAAGATGTTGAAGATCACGGATTTCGGCTTGGCCAGGGAATGGCATAAAACTACCAAAATGAGCGCAGCTGGAACATATGCCTGGATGGCTCCTGAGGTCATCCGCTCCTCCATGTTCTCCAAAGGCAGCGATGTTTGGAGGTATTGATTTGGCATTAAGCGATTGGATAATAAAGAGTAACTAGACCTGCCAGGAAACCTCTTTATGTTTAAGAATGAGTAATGGTGAACCAAATATTAAAATTCAGGTCTTAAGGAAACTTTATCCATCAGCTTTCCATCTGTCAGACTTATCTCAGACTTTCTGTTACTATAGAAAGTGGTGGATCAGCTACTGCATGCCTCTAAATTTTTGTTGTTCTATAAATTTGCATTCAGAAAATTTTGGGACTCATAATCCAAATCCCCTCGGCTTTATCTAAACTAAACTTTTTGTGCTTATTTGGCTATTGGCTGACATAATCAAAGGCCACAATACCATTTGAGAAGTACTTTACTGTTTTACCAATAGTAAGATAATTTTATGTTTTGGTAGTAATCTGTCACTGATGTACATATACACGAACACACTGTACTTAATTGAATTCTCCATGCAGTTTCAATCCAAATTGATGTTTTTCTCTTTAATTATTCTTATTAATTATTTCCACTCTTCTGGTCTTTCATGGGATAATAAGTCTCTTCTGTAGGTCTATCTGAGTACATAATCCATAAGTAGTAACTTTCATGTATATATTGTCTTTTCCATTCATGCACTGGGATTTTTGTGAATTAATTCATTTAGTGGGAAGGAGTGTAAGAATCAACCCATAGACTTCCAGAAGCTGAACTTGAATACTGCTATTAAGTGAATTAGTAAATAAAGAATTCATTAAATAGCTCTAGGATGGTGACTTCTCTGGATGCTGGATGACTTAGAATTAGTACTGAACATCTGAAACAGATGAATTGGCGAGAATTTTGTTTTTGTTGTGGAGATGTGTGTTGAAATGTCAGGATGACTTCATCTTCAGAGCAGTCAGGTTCTATTGCTGGCCAGTAACGCTCTTGCACAAGTGAGTGCATACTGTGAAATCAGTCAGATCAAGAAATACCCCAGCTGGCAGAATTGCCTGGCTGTTATGGCAGAGATTTGGTGTAGGGATTTTCATTTTCCATATCCAGATTTGGTGAATAGATACTGCTTTGTGATAAGTCTGTGAACTTGTATTTTGCACACTAATAGTGTGGGTAAAATTCTGAAATTCTGACTCTAATGAAATGTAGTTGCCTCTCTAGTTAACCTAAGACAAATTGAGCAAGAATCAGGCTTTCATTCTGGGTGAAGTCTGAGAGAAGTGAAAATCTCAAGGCTGTGCACCCTTCTGTGTACATGATGACAGTACTGGTTTGTACACAGCTCCAACATCAAATTGCTCTTCCCTGAAACTGTGCCAGGAATGGCCTTTAAGGGTAACCTGAGGGAAAGGGAGAAGGCCAAGGGGAAACCGTTTCCCTGTAATTGTAACTTTACTTATCCAGGCATGCTATGAACAGATCAGTAGATGTTCTGTACCACTATGAGTTCATTTTAAAAAAGGTAGGACTTAATTCAGTGGTTGATGATTTTCATGAAGGTAGCACAAGTGCCTCTATATCTGTGCAAAAGTACCAGTTTGGTCATTGACTTATGAACTGTGAATCACTTCAGGACTTAAGGATTGTACATAACTTAAATGATTTGGTCATTTTTCAGAATACTTTATTTCTACATTTAAGATTCCTTCATTGCTTTCTCTTGTTGTAGTTACCAGTCTTGCCTTGAAAACGGGTTGAGTTCCTCACAGTATTCACCCTTAAACAGAGTGTCATCACTATTAGGAGAACTTATATACTATCTCTGAATAAACCTTTTCTCCTGTGTGGCTAAAACCTCTATTCATAGTTAAATAAACTGAAAAGAACGTGATGCTTGAGGCGTGTATGCAGAGGACAAATACTTTCCAGTGCTGTCACTACCAGTGTGTCAATGATGGTAAGCACTAGATTTTACAAAAGCAGTCATGGACGTGTGTAATAAATTCTGTCCCCAGCCAAGGATGCAACCTGAAATTCTTAACAGGATGAATTCTCTTATCCTATTAGACTTGCCCCTCCTCTTGTCCAGTTCAACCTCTTAGTTAATCATTGGAGTCATCGGGAGTTTTTTTACCTGACAAACTTACAGTTGATCTGTGCAGCCTCAACAGAATTGGCTGTCTCTGTCTCTAACATTCACAAACCCTTTTATTTCAACACCTTTTCTTTAAAGCTCGTTAGAATAATAGTGCTGGCTGAATTGTTGCCCAGCCATTGAACAAGAATCTTGTTCAGCTTGCGTTGTCACTGCAAAAACAGGTGAAGAAGATGCTGAAGAAGATGCTTGCTAGGCATTTCCTGAGTCAATCTTATCACATCGTAACTAACTGCTATCCTTTCAGAACATGTATCAAGTTCAATTTAAAAAACTCAAACTTTTTTTAATGTCCCACTGTAAACCAGGGTTGACAAAAAACTTCAAAGAGTGAGGAATGGCTCCACACATTGGTATCGATCACCGGGGTCTGGGCCACTGTAAAGCCTGTTAGTAGTACCAGTACCTAGTAAAACTTGCTAGTGAACACTTGTTACTGTGAATTTTTCTGTGCTGTACCTGCAAGCTTTAGATATACAGTAGAAACCTTGTGCTTATATTGCACAGAGGACAAAGAAGCCACAGTTTTATTTAAATAAGTCAGTTCCTGTAAATCTATTTATACGTTCAGATATGCTTTGGATTTGCAGGGTTGAAGTTGAAGCCTGGATATTGCAGATTATCCAGTACTATACAGCAAACTCATGTTATTAGGCATATAAATCAAATTTCCCTGTAATTTGACTGCTTAAATGTGCAGTGAACAAGAAATACACTTCATTTTTTACTTGTGCTGCTTAAAAGACAGTCATATTGTCAGTATGATTGGTATAGGGAATATAAAGGCACCATACAACCTTCATCTGAGTTCCCTATGTTCCTCAAGTTAGATGCTTTTAAGATGTATCTGCTCTGACACCAGTGAAATAATTGGGAATTTAATTTTCGTTTGGAAATGGAATACCAGCACTAGCTAAAATCATCAGATTAGCAGATCAGGAAGTTGGAGGTATTTAGTGCTGCATGTAGAAACTTCAGTCATTAGAATATTTTGTTTTAATCAAGTGTTGGTCAAACACTTCCATCTACACCTGACTGATGGTAAGCTTTTGTAATTCCCTGTGTGTAATGAAGCACTGGCAGGACTTCAGTACCTGGCAAGGAAGTGCTGACTAGCAGTGTTAGCTGAAGTTCACCCGGGAGAAGCATATTGACTGATGTGCCATGGGCAGGAAAGGTCAGCTCTGAAACTGCCAGTTCAGTAATACACAAAATGCTAACTGCTAATAGCCATTCAAATGTAATCAGGTTTGTGGGTTTTGTTCTTAACAAAAGTGATGTTCTAGCTTCTGTTGCAACTGGGGTCTCCTTGTTGAGCTGATAATTCCTTGTGTTGAAACCCAGGGAAAGTATTGAACCTAGGGAGATGGATAAGAGAAACCTGTGGTACAAATGCATGGAACAGTATCAGTGAGAAGGAATTACTGATTTTTTTATAAGTTCATAGACTAACAAGGGAGGTGGCAAAATCACATGTGAAATCCTGCAGACTTCCAGCCTCCCTCACCCTGAAAATCCAGTGTGTAGGATTGAACCTGATGTTAAATGGCTTAAGGGATTACTGGATCACTGAAAGATGGTTAATTATTCACACAAGTGTCAGTTGACTTGGATGCATGGTCTGTATCACATGGTTCATTTTGTAATTAAAGTCCAAAAATTACTACTGGATGCTGGAAAAATAAATGAGCTTGATCAGTTTTTCTTTCTCCCTGCTGAGAATGAGTAGAGGCCCTTGTTTCTTTCTTCCTATGCCTTTTTTTTTTTTTTTTAATAAGTTTTCTGACTCTGGCTTTTTCCTTTGTACTTCCCAATTTTCTACTTGAGAGTTAGTGGAAAACACTCTGTTCAGCACCTCTCTTGCTGTTTAATCACTTGGGATTACTGTTGTTCAAGTGCCACAAAACAGTATTCCCCTAGCTCTGTGGAAGCAGTATTCTCAGCAATGTACTTGTAAGTATGTGAGGAAGAGGTGGCATTCAGTTTTATCAGAAGCAAAGTGACCTTTCCTGCAATATGCACATACAGTGTCACGTTAGAAGAAACACCCACCTGTCTATTCCTTTGTCCTTTAAAAATGACCCTGGGGAGGAAGTGCTTTGAGCACATCAGTAGTGCTTTATCCAATACTAGTGGTAAAGTAATAATACAGCTGTTTGTTAGCTTTTACCACCTCTTGCTACCACTAGTCATATTCAAACTGAAGAGTAACATGAATGATCAATTAAATTTAGGCAGTCCAAATATACATTCAGTCCAGTATTCATTTTCTTTGAGTGTTTATTAATCCTAGAAGGCCAAAAAAGAAAATGGGAACTCCTTAACTCTAGTTAGTTTTTTATAAATAAGGTTCTTGAGGTGGTAAGAAGTAATAAATTATAATATCAAGAATATGAATTACATAGAAAAAAATGCAAAATATTGTATAGGTGAAAAAATATACTTTGCTGAATAAAGTTAACTAGCAGTGTTAGCAGCAAAGGTGAAATCTTTAGTGACTCAAGTCCTACATCTAAATAGGAAAAATACTGTTAAGGCTGTCCAGTTAAAGTGGGAGGAGTTACAGTGAATGTTAAAGACTTGGTAGGTAGAGTGGGGGGGTGAGATGGCAAAAATACAGGTTGTGATAATGTACTCCCAAGTGGATAGGGCAACTGTTGGTTTGAAATAAGGAAAGCTTAATCTTTTAGCTTCAGAAATGACTGTTTCATGGAGCAGCTATTTAAGGAGCTTGTAGGAGGAGAAGTGGTTTTTCATTTGGTCTTCAGGTGTGCTTATGAAACCTTCAAGATTGTACAGTATGACATGATCCAAATTTAGGTATACTTAGATTGGATATCTTTCCAAGAGCAATGAAGAAAAATTAGTCCATTAAAGCAGTGTTTAATCTCAAGGAGATTAATGACAACATTGGGAACTTCATGTAAAAACAACAGAAGGGGAACACACAACATGAATACCTTTTAAAGACACCTGTTAAATCTCTGAATGAATGTATAGGAAAGGCTTTAAAAAATGAAGAAGTCAGTGGAGAAGAGACTTCTGAAAGACTTCCTTCTAAAAGTTGAATCTGTATCCAGTGAGGAAAAATTAGGCATGGAAGTTGAACATAAAACACTTAAGAAGATAAAAGGGTTTTGAGGAGAGTCTTCAAGCATAAAACCAAATCATTTGCTTTCAAATGCAGTACAGGTGAGAACCCTGCAGGAGAGCATATGGCCCAGAGGTGACCAACATGTAAGAAAGCAAAGAAGATAAGGCTATAACAGGAAAAAAACATTAGTGACTTGTGTCTGCCAGAATGGAGCAAAGAGAGGCTTTTTAAGCTGAAAATTTCTCTATAAGGGAGCCAAGCTAAAGGATGTATCTGACTGAAGTACAGTCCACAGAGGTGTCAAAACTGACTGATAAAATGAGCAGTAACAAATTGCTGAGATCTACAGTAACACCCAAGATTTCTACAAGAACATGAGAGTCAGATGAATTAATAGCTGTCCTGTGGAATCTCTTGCTTAAAGCTACTGTAGTACCACAGAAATGGAAGGCAACAAACATGGTGACAAGTCTTAAAGAGCTTCCTGAGGATTAGCAAGTATGATTTGCAGTTCTTCTAAATGGTAGAAACAGCACCAAAGAGCAGGGAGCTGGTGAACATCTGTGGAAGAGTCAGCTTTTATAGAAGAGAATATAATGCCTTGTGAAAATGTTTGAAGGAGTTACTGAGCGTGTGGATAAGGGTAAGATTGCTTATATTATATTTGGATTTATAAACTCTTTAAACAAAATCTTTCAGCAAAAACTTTTAAAGAAGGTAAATTAATGGACAAAAAAGAGAGCAAGTCTGTTTCCCATCACTCTAGTCAATTCTTAATTACTAAAGGAATAAATCAGTTATGTTGGTGGAGAATTCTGTGCTCAACACAATTGTAAGTGATTTGAAAAAAAACCCACCACAATAAATGGTTAGGTAGCATGGTTGATGATATCAAGTTATTCAGGATTAAGAAAACCTAATTACTGCAGAGAACTGAAGAAAAGTTTTACTATAATGAATGATAAAGAAGATGGTAATAAATACAAAGTAGTACCCATGGGAGAATTTCACAGGTGCAGTGGTAGGCTCTAAATTTTACTATGATGTGTCAGTAAAAAGATATTTGAGCTACTGTGGTAATCTAACTCATTTTGTGAAGAGTCAGAAAGGCAAGTGGCAAATTAAAATTTAAAAGGAAATTAAAACAGTACCGTTTGTGCCTCTCCCTGTATCTTTAAAACTTTGTGATGTTGCTCATTCCAACAGAAGATGTCAAGGTCAATGAAAGATATGAAATGACTTCTGTTTAGGATATTAACTAGATTAGGATTTAGCTAGATTAGGATTTGGGGGTCTGGAAAAAAGGTGATTTAGGCAGGATGCATGGGAGCCTGTGAAATCATGGATGGCATAGAAGGAGCTAATAAGGGAACATATGTTCACTCTTTCTTGTGTTGAAAGAACTACAGGGAAGCAAATGAAATTACCAAGTGACAAGCTCAAAACAAATACACAAAAGTATTTTTTGGCAATGCATCATTAAATTTGTGGAGTTCACTACCAGAGAACATAGTTGGATGGTAAATAGGGTCCTAAGAGAGTAGGACAGATAGACTGAGTGAAAAACCTGTGAGGTCACTAAGGATGAAGAATCAGTTTCTGGTTCGGGTTTCCTAGAAGTAGAGAAAATATTCTGAGGATATGTTATTCATCATATACTTGGGGGGAGAACAGTCTTGAAACCATTTCCATAACTTCATAGTTAATATTTCATAGAACATCTTAAGAACAACTTAATTCTGAAGAATTATTTTTGACTTATTTTTAAAAATAACATCCCATCAAACAACCCTCCTTCACATTTTTAAGTGTTTTGAGAGGTGCTACTCTGAAACTTGCTAAATTAGTTAGAAGATTTATGGTTTTCCATTGTTCCCAGTTTCCAGAGAAAAAATTATTTTTGTCTAAAAGGTGAAAATGGCATCTTATTTCAGACTTACTCAAAAAAGACAGTTAAAATAAGGCACATCACCAGCTTGACAATTGTGATACGCTTGCCCAGAAAACTGCAATTTCTTTAATATACCAGATTCACTTTTAAAAGTTCAGGTACCTTCTTGTTGCTTAACAAAGAATGTGTGTAAGTCAAACACCTACTCTCTTTTCTGTTTCTTCCTGGTAGTTATGGTGTGCTGCTTTGGGAACTGCTAACAGGAGAAGTGCCATTCCGAGGAATTGATGGTCTTGCAGTAGCATACGGTGTTGCCATGAATAAACTTGCCCTTCCAATCCCTTCCACGTGTCCAGAGCCTTTTGCCAAACTCATGGAAGGTAAGCCAGCTGTGATGGGAGTGTGGTTTGTGCTATTTCTAGAGTGCTGTTGAGCACTGCCTCTTTGTGTTGGTTTTGATAGCCAAGAGCACAGATTTCTCAAATGGCTTTATTCAGTGGTGCAGGTTGTTATGGGACCAGGCTTGGCTGTTAATGTGTTGTGACAGTTCCTCTATTACCAGAGTAGTGAAGGAAATTTCTCTGCCTTTTTTTATCAACTGACTTTGTAGGAAAATGGGGACTATTTCTGTCATCATCTAGCTTGTTTTCTAGTAGTGAAGGCTCACCAACACCAAAACTTCACATATTTTGGTCTGGTTTGAAGTCTTCAACTTGTTTTACAATTCATAGCTTGAACATCTTGCTAGGCAGTGATTTGAAATGAAATTTTATCCTACTGACGTTTCAGGGAGAGGGTTGAAATGTGGCTTTGACATTTTCAAAACAACCAATATTTTCAGTCAGAAAGATGTTATTTTCTGTTTTGTAGGTGGAGATAGTTCCTGCCCACGGTGGGCTACACAGACATGAAAGGACTATCTCATCTGTGCAACTGCAGTTGTTAGAAAGCATTGTGTGAGCTAGCTTTTGGGGTGTACTTATGTATCCTACTCTGCTGGCCCTTGCAGAGGGCAGATTGTTTCCTGAGCTTCAGTTGTTCCTCCTTGCCTCCCTCTCTCCTTCCCTCTCTCTCTCTTCCAATATTACCCTTAGTAATTTTGTCAGTGCCCCTATTCCCCAGGATTTCCAGGTGTTTATATGTAATAAACATTTGGATAGCTATCTGGCAGAAAGAAAAACTGAGGTAAAGAGAAATCAAACTTGGTTTATAGTCTTGGTGAGCAAAGAGTTAATGTCAACATAGACCTGATACTCTGTGGCCTCCAGTGGTGTTTTTAGCCCAAGAAAGGAATATAAGCTCTGTAAGAAAATGTTTCTGACGGATTTCTCTACTTTTAGAATAATTCTGCCTTTCTCTGGTCTTTTCTTTAGGTTACAGGCTTTAGGTAATTTAAAATAGCAAATTTCATGTTCTCTTCTGCTAAAAAGAAATATCCTACTGGGTAGTAAACAGCAGCAGAGTTGCAGGTAGAGTAACTTGGAAGCAACATAAAGCACGAAATTGCACCTGAAAGAGTTAATGGAACTACCAGCTCAGCGTTGTGCCAGGCGGTTATTTTTTGTCATGGTTCTGCAGCTGGGTTTAAAAATAACGCCCTCTATTGGGAAAGTCAGGTAGAGGCATATGGCCAGTGCTTGAACCCAGCAGCACAGGGGTGAGCACCCACTCGGCTTTGGAACGCTTGGCTTCTCCATGCGCAGGGAGAAGGCGAGAACAAAAAAAAACCAATTGCTTTCTGCCCCTTCACCAAAACTGTTTTTCAAACAGGCTGTTTCCCATCTCGAGTGAACTCTTGTTCCCCTAATGCTGCTTTTACTTTTGAATTACTGCCCTGGTGGTCTTCACTGAAACAACAAAGCTGAACTTTCGGTCTTCACAGAAAAGACTTGTATGTTACAACTGTCCTCATTAGTGCAAATAATGGCAGATCTAGGCCTGGGAAAATAAAAGCCACGGGCCACCTGCTAGTTATCCTGTTCACTCATTCATGCATTTGGCTGGCTGCAGCATTTTATTTTAGTTTGGGTCATGTTTGCTTTGCCATGTTTAAAACCTGGGGTAAAGAGACAGGGATTATGGCACTGACAGTCCAGCTGTAACACCCATAGCTACTAATTGGCCAGCAGCAGGGGACCTTCAGAGCACTCTTTAACATCCTTGGTTCTCTATTTTGATAAGAGAAGCAATTTGAAAGCCATAAACATAAACACATTCCAGCTTATGTCTCATGGAACCTGTTGATACCCACAGTTTTGAAACTAAAGCTCCCAAATGCAAAATCTCAGCGACGCTAAAATCAATTACCTGCAAGACCAAGCCTCAGCAGTTGCACAGATTTTGCGAAGTGATATTTATTTTTAATTACAGCTGCTCCTTGGTGTATTTTAGCTCACAAATCTGATGAATGAATGTCTTTGAGGACATCACCAAATATTTTTAAAAATGTTTCTTTTTTTCTCAAACTTCAAAGTCTGAAAAACTTTTAGAACCTTTTTATAACTTTTGCTTCATGCTGCAGTAATGTGTGTCTTAAATCCAGTGATCACGTAGAGCAATGATAATATGAACATACTGAGAGAGACCCACGTGTTAGTTGCTTCCATTCATGCAGAAAAGCTGTGTTCCCTAGAAATACGCTTGAATGTTAAGTTTTTCTCTGTGGTTGCTCTGAAATTTGGCATCCAGCAGTAGTAAAGAGCATAAGGGTATTTGTTGAACAAAAACCTGTGTAAATGTCAATATGAGGCAACATAGAATGAAAAAGTGATGTTTTCTGCAGGAGTAAAGGTGAGGGGGCAGTAAGAGGAAGGACTGAAGGAGTACAGACTTCCTATTCAAAAGCGTTGTTAAATCAAATGTTTTGATGTAAACACTTTTTAAAAACATATTCTTAGTGATTTTGTAGCTTGAGCAGTTACTTGGTACTGTTTTCTGTTTCTGTTTTCAATGTTCAGTTCCCATCACTGTAAAAATGTTACTTTTTGTTTTGTTGCTCATTGAGTTGCCTTATGTGATAAGATGGCTACCTTAAATTCTGCATTTTTAGAGCTCTGTAATTGGCTAAGTAATTGCTTTAGATTGTAAATGAAAAAACTTGTTTATCTGTTGTTTCTCTTAAAAGCAAAAGGTCTGATCAAACAATTTCCTCTCAAATGATAAAGAAGAACCCTTACAAATAAGAAAACTTGAGTAAAATAACGACATTAACTAGTGCATTTGGAGTTATGTCCAGTTTGCCTTGTAGGAGAGGTTTTCAGTTTTGAGAAGAGATCCATAATGATTCAGCTTAGTATTAGAGTTTGGCGTTAGAAAAAACCCTGATAGATACCCTTCTGCACTATGGCTGTTAACTCTGCGGTGTAACTGTTATAAAAGAACTGTTTACGAAAACCTTGCATAAATTTCCACTCTGTGAACACATATTTTAAAGCAAAATATTTAAGGAAATTATTTGTTATTTCTTAAAAATACTTGAAAATGTAACTTTCTGTAGAATTAATAAACCTCTATTTCACTTGACATATTATTGCAATAGAATCTGGAGACCAGTTAGTTAGGTAGTTCAGGATTTTTAAGTGATGTTGGATATTGTATAGTCATGAAAGCATGAATTTCATACTTGACAATGGTCAATGCAAGTGGGAAATGGGAAAGGTGGGGTAACACAGATAGTGTACATGCCACTCTTAGCCACTGGGGATCAGTAAAGTACTACTAATCCTCTCAAGCCTCCATACTTAGAGGTGCTTGACAGTTGCTTGTCTTTGTCCTGTTCTAGATTGTTGGAACCCTGACCCACACTCACGACCTTCCTTTGCCAGTATCCTAGACCATCTTACTGCCATAGAAGAGTCTGGTTTCTTTGAAATGCCCAAAGATTCCTTCCACTCCCTGCAGGAAGACTGGAAACAAGAGATCCAAGAGATGTTTGATCAGCTCAGAGCCAAAGAAAAGGTAAGGAGAGAACAGTGCTCCCTGCTTGTGCTCTCTGGATTATAATTTCCCCATTTTGTAATTGAAACAGGGATCATTGTATAGTGCATCCCAGATATAATTTTGACTGTGCTTTACTGGAGCCTGTATTAAGTCCCTGAATCAATGGCAGGTTATGATGCACACAAGGGTAGAATCATGAGAAAAATAAATATCTTCATCCTGAGCTGCTAATTCATTCTAATATTGTAGGGAGCTTCCATTATACACTGTGCAACTGTTATGATGAGTTGTGTTAATTGTTTAAACATCTGATAACTGTTTCACTTAACTGAGAAACCCAGTGATAAGAGGAGATTTTGGAGGGGTAGTTTCAGCATATATACTCTAGTACACACTGCAGCTTTGATTCTACCAGGTTTGTGTTTTCCGGGTTTTGAAGACAACCGAAGTGCATAGACAATGATAAACGTGAGAGCTATCAAGGGAATGGTGTAGTAACTGTTCTAATTGAAGTCCATCTGTGCAGAAAGCAGGAAACAAAAATGCGGACAGGAATAAAAGGAGTGGTGACCATCAGCCTCAAAGAGAAGTGAAAAAAAATGAAATTGTCTTTAAGCATACTTTCAACACAGCTTGCTGCATCTAAAGACAGAGACTGTCTTTACAGTCAATGGTAAAAACTGCAGCAAAATCGCTAAAGTAATATTTTTTTCAAGTTCACAATCTCTTGCCTAAAAATAAACTCATAATGAGCCCCCAACTTAATCAGGGCTCTGAGATTGGATTTAGGAGGCAGAGAGAAGAAAAAAGATGATTTTGGGTCAGAGGAGAGAAGTCCTACAACAATACTTAAAACATTTCTATTCACCTGTTATAGTAGCTTTTGGGGAAAATAGAATAGCTAATTGGCTTTTCTCTGCTGCTGTTGTCCTGTGTTGGAACAACTTTTGAAAACTAGAAACTTCAACAGACAAGGAGAAAGCCAAACAGTAGTTACTAGACTGCCCTCAGGTTGAGTATTCCTCTTTAGTGATGGGGAAATAATCTCATGTGCTGTTCATTTAGAGAGTAAACTGTACCAGATCTCCCTGGTGGTGAGACAGGTAACAATGCTGTTCTTAAAAAAATCTAAACTAAAATCTATCTGATTATCTTTTTGAAGTTTAATTTGAATTCTTCAGTTTTTACCTTCTGCACCGGAATTAGCTAGTTGGAGAGAATTATTCCGAGTTCTGAATTCTTACGTACTTGTGGGGAGAAGACAGGAGTGCAGGGAGAAGTCTTTTTGAGATTTCAAGGACAACTTCGGTTTGATTCATTTTGTCAGCAAGAGTTAGACTGAAAAGTTTGCCTTATGCATCTTCTCCAGGACCATGTCCAGATGGCTTTTGAATATCCCTAAGTAGGGAGATTCCACAGCCTCCCTGGGCAACCTATGCCCAGCGTTCAGTAACATACTCAGTAAAAAAGCATTCAGAGGTGGTCTCCTGTATTTTGGTGTGTGCCCATTGCCTCTTGTCCTGTCACTGGGCACTGCTGAAGAGAGCCTGGCTTTATATTTTTTTCTACTCTTTCCTCAGGTTTTTATGTACACTGATAAGATCCCCCTTTGGCCCACCCAAGGCTTTTTTGTGCTAGGATGAACAGTCCCATCTCTTTCAGCCCTTTCTCATAGGAGAGGTGCTCCAGTCTCTTAATCATCTTCATGGCCCTTTGTTGGACTCTGTCACCGGTATGTCCTTGTCTGTCTTGTACTGGAGAGCCTAGAACTTGAAATAGGATTTCAGGTGTGATCACACAAGTGCTGATGTCCAAACTTTAGTATTGGTATGAAGGTCCTAGAATGGCAAGCACAGAAGTCCTTGAGGATTTTTTTTGGCTTCCAGCTGAGCCTTTAAACAGTGGTGGTAGCAGTGCTGTGATCACAAGTCATTGCTGCTGTACCTTCAGATTAGGCAAGGTTAGTCTTAATGCACAGGTCACAAGGTAGCTTTTTAGTTTCACTTATCTCCCTACAGGAGCTGCGCACATGGGAAGAAGAGCTGAGTCGTGCTGCTGTTGAACAGAAGAATCATGAAGAGCTGCTGCGAAGGCGGGAACAGGAGCTGGCAGAACGCGAGATTGACATCCTGGAAAGGGAGCTCAACATCATCATTCACCAGCTGTGTCAGGAGAAGCCTCGAGTAAAGAAACGCATGGGAAAGTTCAAGAGGAACCGGCTCAAGTTAAAAGATGGCAATCATATCAGCCTACCTTCAGGTTGGTGACATGTTGTGCTGTGCCAGGTGAAATGGGAGCAACCTGCAGGCTTGGTAGCTCCTTACTACTGACACTTAAGCATTAAAAAGTATTGGATGTAATTCGGGAAAAAAACGTACCTTATGGGTTCAGTAAAATAAATGTGATGTTTTTGTGGCTAGCATTGCTCCAAGTTCCAAGATAAAGGCCAGAAATAAACTTGAGATGTTACAGGTTTGTTAATCAGTGGTTGTAAATGGTTAATGGTTAAAATGCTGGTGTTGCAGTTTAGCGTGTTAATATTCAAAGTACCAGTTTAATAAAGGATGTGCATAAAAAATGATGGAGGTTCTTGTTCTGGGAATACTTTACATAATGCTGCAGCAGAAACTGTAATGTACTGGATTTCTTGGTGTAAGAATCTAAAAATTACCAAAATAGATTTATAGCTGTGAGACTGTAGCTCTAGATTACTACTTCTTATGTAAACTTGTATTAACACACGAGTGACCTCTAATACCACCCTTCTGGAAGAAATGCTAAATATTAGTGAGGTCTTAGGGAAGTCACTCTTAAGAGCAATGATGGTGATTTTCAGAAATGATTTATTTGCTGGGAGATATTGGCTGTTCAGAAGAGCAATTATGCTAAAATGTGTATGTTAACTATGCCTTTCCTTAGGTCTGTAAATGCCTGTTTTGGTGGTGCTTAAGAAACTGAGAGATAAGATGAAAGGAATTATACAGGGATATACTTTGGCATAAATGTCAGTCAACATATGGGGCCTGTGTGTGTATGTGTGTTACACATATGCCAAGATATATCTTCAAGAGTGTGAGCACACATTTGTGTTCTGAAGTAACAGTGTGTACAAAGGGCAAATAGCAATTAGCTGTAAAACTTCATTTCTACCTTGATCCTATAAGTTGTGCTCTTTGAAAGTTACCATAAAGTATTTCTTTTTCCCTGTTTAAAAAAAAAAACTTCAACTGTTTTTCTGCTTTTGTTTTGACTTTTTTCTTTTGCTGAACAGATTTTCAGCATAAATTCACTGTGCAGGCTTCTCCAACGATGGATAAAAGGAAAAGCTTGATCAGTAGCTGCTCCAGCCCTCCTGCAAGTCCTACCATTATTCCCAGACTCAGGGCCATACAGTGTAAGGAGCTCAATGTAGTATTGAATTTGGGAAATGTGCAGTCTGTCAGCGTGGTAAGATGTCCAGATTCCATATCTAGGACAAGACTTTAAAAGAAAGTACTAAAATGTTTTCCTTGTACATTGTATGTATGCATTTAGAGAGAAAAATGGAGTGTGTTGGTGATGGGGGGAAATATCACCTCTTTTGGAGTCGAAACCATACTTAACCAAGTCTTTGAAGTATTGCTGTTTGTATAGAAAATACATTCCTGAGGTATAGAGTTAATTTTTAAAAATACTAATTTGCAGAGTAGATCTGTGAAACATTATTGAAGTGGATTAAGTTACTGTTGTAAGGAAACAGAAAAAAAATAAGGGTGCTTGTCATGCAAGTAATGTTGCCATAATAAAACAGAATTAGGCAGACATGCATGTTTTAGAATTATGGAAGTCATGTTAGCTAGTGTATAGTGTTTGCTTTGAATACCATGACACTTGTGTGTCTGGTATCAAACTGGTGGTTCTGAAGGGAGAACAGTGATGGAATAAAGCTGTAAAGGCTACCTATACTTTGAGGGATTAGGGAATACCTAATTTTGAAGGGATTTGGTTGTTAGATCTTTGTTGATAAATGGTCATTAATACAGGAAAATAATTTTCGCTACTATTCCTGTTTTGGCCTATGTTTTATTCTTCATGTTGCCATGGAAGCAATTCTTTAATTTGTCTGTCTGTTTTTCTTTCCCATTTTCCACTGTTCTTCCCACTTGTGAAGTGACTCCTGCTGAAAGCAGTAAAACGTGGGGGCGAAGCTCAGTCCTTCCAAAGGAGGAAGGAGAGGAAGAAGAGAAGAGAGGCCAGAAGAAAAAGGGACGCACCTGGGGACCAAGCTCACTTTGTCACAAGGAGCTAGGTGCAGGAGAAGATGGGTAAGAGAGGGTCTGGAGGCAGACTAATTTCCGGGTTCTAAAACTGCTTATGAGCTGGCTCTCGGGAAATTTGCCTATCCTCTTCCAAACACTTTCCTGCTCCCAGACTTACTTTCTGTACCAGATATGTTAGAGATTCAGATTACAGAACTGCATTCAATCTTTTGCTGGTGAGTGATGCTTTCACTGTTTGCTATTATGTTGTTAGGTGTGTTTCTAATCAGTAGGACTTCCTAGCTGAGCAAAACTCTTTACCTAGTAGGTTTTCTCTATTTTCAGGCTCAACTTTCTGTAGTTTCATATCATATCTGAAAATACTTCTCTCTTAAAATTCTCAGATATGCTTTTTCTTGTCTTAATTTTTAAATAATAGCATTTATCTGGTAGAGCCAGACAAATATCTTTGGTCATTTGAAAAGGACAAATATATGTCCTTGGAGTGAATACATCCTGAAAGTGATCTTTCCAGAGATACAGATTGTACTTCTTTTTCTATAGGTTATTGTTCTGTGGCTGCTCTTTTTTTGGTGTGTGTGTGAATTATTTAAAGAAGGACTCCAATGGATCATTGCTGAAATGCTGCTTTAAACATAGGAGTATTTTGATCTTCTGAGAAGTTTGAATGCTTTGTGACTTTTTTCATGGAGTTTGAAGCTTTTTCACTCTGCTAAGTTGATAGTTTGACTCTTGGCGTATTTTTAGCAGGGAAAATAAAATAACTGGTTATAATCTTTGACTATTGTGTGCTCAGGTGTGAAATGCCTGAAAACCAGATGTTTGCATAATGCATTACTATTGCAGTCCTCTGCAAGAGAACCTGGATCTGTTAGAATATGTTCTGTCTCAAATAAACTTACACATGTTGACAGGGCAATGTGGAGGAAGGTTCTTTGACTGATGTCTGTGCTTTACTTGTTCTGTAGATGAAGTATAGCATTCTACAGAATTAAAACAAATGTCAGACTTCACAATCATTAACTATATAGAAGGGCAGGAGATCACTGAAGCTGGAAAAAAATACTTCTATCTTGAAATCATGTTCTTCGAATTCTGGGAATAAAGCTCTTCAGTTTTCATTACTGTACAGTCTGAAGCACTGATGGCTTTTGGGCACAGACAGCTGGAAGGGAGTTGATTGCTAACTGTAGTTACTCATAAGACTATCCTGTTCTCTCTGCAACTGAGATGTTCTGTAGTATTCAGAGTCTTTCCTAGAGAGACTCGATACAGCTATTGCATTTTGCAGACTATTTGAAACAGGATAGTGTTGCTGAGAGGGCAGTATGGCTAGCATACAATGAACTTCTTTCTGAGGTCATGCTGGACTGCAAATTTTAATTTAAAGGGAACAAAATGGCAGTAAACATGGAAATGTTTTTGGAGGTGTTTTTCCCCTCCTCTTTTTTTTTTAAAATTTTCTTTAGTGCTTGATTTTTTACATGCAAGATTGATTGCAAAAGAAATCAAGGTGCCTTAATTTCAAGAGAAAGTGTTTAATCTCATTTTTGTAGTGGTGCTTTTTATTATTCTGCGTTCATAGCTGTTAGTTATCAGCAGAGGTCTTTTGACTGCTGTTGTGTAATAAACGATGGAGGGACCTTATGACTTTTTTTAAGGTGCTGTAAAAATGTCACAATTTCTTTTTGTGGGAGGGCTTCAAATCTGTGTAGTTAGGATGGATACGTGTATGCTGTAATAGAATGATAGAGAATATAGAAGGGGAAAATGGAAACTGCTGGTGAGCACGGTACATTTTCTCACATCCTTTTACTATTTCAGTCTGAAAGCTCTGGTAGAAGGATACAAACAGTGGTCATCCAGTGCACCGAACCTTGGAAAGATCCAGAGAACTGCACCAGCTTTTCCAGGATTCACCAGCTTAGCAGAGATGGGTAAAGGAATTCCCTGAACTTGATACTCTCATCCCCACTTTGATTCACATTTGAATAAATCTCTTTTTTTTTCTGACCTTCACCTGATACCTTACAGCAATGTCTTAATTTTTTGATACCTATTTTTCTTCTATCCCTTGTGAAATGTCTACTTCCGCCTTCTAGATTTTCTTTTTTTTCACCTCTCTGCATGTGCTTGTTGTCTGTCAAGTTAATAAGCTTCTGTTAATTCTCCTCTAGCTCCATGCTATCTCTCAGCTCCTTTCCTATATATTGATACTTAGATGTGCAGCATGGTCACACCCTCACTTGCAAGGAGCGATCCTTATAATTTTCCTGCCTTTTGCTCATCACAAACATATAAATTTACTCTAGAAGTAACTGAGGTGCAGGTTGTTTCTGAAATGCTTTTCTGCAATTAATCCCAAATAGATTAATGAGTCATTAATTTCTTCCACTTTGATAGTGCTTCCAGGTATTTGTCTCAACCTATCTGCTTTGGAGACAATAACCTGTGAGTATTTGGCAGTTGATGAATGATGCTTGTGATGAGAACAGTTGCATTTTTTGAGGAGAAGCTTGTTTTCATGTATATTTGTAAGACAGTGAAATTTGCTAGTGGAAGTGTTGCGTCAATGCAAAGTCTGTTTTCATTTGCTTTCCAGATGATGAAGACAGTGAATGTCTTAATGGAGAGGACAAAGTGCACCCTTCACCTGTGCACAATCAGTCATACCTCTGCATCCCATTTCAGAAGAATGAAGACTGGGATGGCCCTTCTAGTGATGCCAATGAGGAGTCCACCCCTGTAAACTCTGCTACGAGTACCCCACAGCTGACACCCACCAACAGCCTCAAACGTAGTGGCTCCCACCACAAGCGATGTGAGGTTGCACTGCTTGGCTGTGGAGCAGTGCTGGCTGCTGCAGGCCTGGGTTTTGATCTGTTAGAAGCAGGGAAGTGTCAGCTGCTGATTGAGGAGGAGCCGGAGGTGCCCAAGGAAGAGAAGAAGAAGCGTGACAGCATTTTTCAGCGAGCTGGACGCCCACGCAGGAGCACTAGTCCACCTTCCCGGAAGATCTTCAAGAAAGAAGATCCCATGTTATTGCTAGGCGAGCCATCCACATCCCTTACCCTTCTTTCCCTGTCTTCCATTTCCGAATGTAATTCCACCCGGTCCCTGCTGCGCTCAGACAGTGATGAGATTGTGGTGTATGAAATGCCTGTCAGCCCAGTGACAGTCAAGGCTCCTTTGCCAGCCATTACGAACCCACTGGTCAACGTCCAGATTGAGAGGTTCAAACAAGACCCCAACCAGTCCCTGACTCCCACACATGTGACAGTCTCTTCCCACACCCAGCAAAGTGGGCACAGGCGCACACCTTCTGATGGGGCCATCAAAGGGAGTGGACTCATTGTCAACGGGTGCCCAACCAGTGGATGCCCTTCCAGTAGCTGTTTAACTGGAGCACTGGGAGCAGGTAGGTTTTCAGCCATCTTCCTTTTCCTCTTCAGAATAAAGACACAAACAGTATAATTACTTGTTACTTATACAGAATCCATTGTGATGACCAGCCTGCAAGAATTGCTTATGGATGCTATCTTTACACAAATAGTTAACAGAATAATGCAGTAATGGTTTCTGTTCCAGCATCTCTGCACTAAGGAACTCCTTGCTCCCCCTGTGCTGTAAGGCAGAGCACAGTATTGTTTCTTAGACAAAAATGGTGCCAAAGTACAAATACTGCACGTTTTTAACAGTTCCTTGGGGTTCCATCTTCAATGCCTTTATATACTTGTTTGTAGTTCAAAGTGAGTTCTGATCTTTAAGGCAGTAAAAACGGGATCTCTAGAACAGTTGGTGCTTGTGCCACTGTTGCTCTTATTCCTTTGCAAATAAGAGGGGTCTTCACAAATAGGTAGTGTTCTCACTGTTGCAGTCTTTAAAAGTGGATGTGACTTCATAACTTAAAAAATGTTTTCCTGTGTTCTTGCTCTAGTAATTCAGAGGAAAAAAAAAGGACTAGAATAATAAATTAAAATTTGATTTAATTAGATCTTTTCCCAATGGTAAAACAAAATGTGAGGTTGTATTTTGAATGGAAGTCTGCAGTAAAATGTGGGTTAATGCAGTTGAGAATTCTCATTAAAATGGTAAAAGTTATGTTGTGTTTGTAAAAAAAAAAAAAATCAAGCAAACACCATCCCCCACTCCTAAACAAAAACAAACCAGGAAGCATCTGCAGTAGGTAGTGTTAAGTGGCTCTTCCAGGAAGTTGGTCCTGCTTGTGACAAACAGGTGTTGTGTATCACGCTCTGTCTCCCTGATCCATTCAAGCTATTAGTGGGTAATGTGCCCTCTGAAGGATTTGGAGATCCCTCCCCTCTGGTAGGAGGTCAAATCCATGGTCTCCAGTCAGAAAATTGAAGAAAGCAAATGAGGAGATGAACAAAACTTGGTGCATGCGCTAGGTCAGTGAAACAAGTGTCTTGCAATGTGTTGAGAACAGCGTAGGGTTAAAGAAGCAAGTTACTTCAGGTTTGCATCATCTTGAAGATACGGAGTTTGTAGATTCTGAACGGAGGCCTTCTGCTTTGAAAATGTTTTTGCACTGTACATACAATAAGCCAAGATCTGTTGGAACAGTGACATCTAACATGTTTCCCTCTTCTCTTACATTGTCTGGTTTGGATAGGTGTATTAAAAACACCTAGTCCAAGTAGAGATCCCACTGAGGTCCCTCGCCTGCCAGACCCCAACCTTGTTTTTCCTCCAACCCCAAGACGATGGAATGCACAGCAGGATCCCACACTGGAAAGACCCAAGACATTGGAGTTCCTGCCCCGACCACGTCCTGCAGCCAGTCGGCAGCGGCTTGATCCCTGGTGGTTTGTGTCACCCAGCAATGCCAAGGGAGAATCTTCTGCCAACAGTTCAAGTACTGATACTCCAAGCAATCTGGACTCTTGTTTTGCTAGTAGCAGTAGCACTGTAGAAGAGAGACCTGGACTGCCTGCACTGCTTCCTTTCCAGGTGGGTCCTCCTGTAGAGGAGCGGACACTGTTGGACATGGATGCTGAGGGGCAGAGCCAGGACAGCACCATTCCGCTATGCAGAAGTGAACTTAACACACACAAAGCTGCAGCATATGAACTCAAGCAAGAATTCTGGTCTTAATATGAAACCAATGGGGACAGTGAGTCCCTCTAAATTCAATCCTACTTTTTGCACTGAGAATGCACTTTGAAGACAGATGAGATGGAGGGATGCTACAGAGATCATATGGTGCTGCCTCTGCTGAAGATGTATTGTTGACTGCCTAATTTTTTGTCTGCAGTTGGGTGAAACTTGGCAACTCTGAGCTGCTGACTTTTGCTGTGGGGTTTTTCTGTAGTCTTCCCTGTCCTCTTATTGCAGTTTGAATCTGCAATGAGCTAAAATTATCATATCAAAGCCTTTTGTTACTGACCTTGTAGGATTTGGCACTTGCAGTAAGTATATTGGTATCTATGCTGGTATTAATCAGTATTTTCAAAACTCAGATATTATACAATAGCAGACATCAGTGTTTGATGTTTTCCCAAGGAATCCAGGACAGAAACAATTAATTGTCTAGAGACTACCTTCTCTGAAATATATTCAAATCATTAGACAGGCCTGGGAATCATCGTACCCCCACTGAAAGAGCAAAAGTAGCTATCTTAAGGCTTGTTTGTCCTCTTTTGCTTAACTGATAGTGTAAGGTGGAACAGATTGCAGGGGAAGGGCATGGCATCTCCACTGATGGAGGTCTTTGAGAGCAGGTGAACCAGATGAAACAAGTAGGTGTAGTTGATCTTGGCTTCAAGGTAGGTTGAATGAACTTCAGTGGTATCTTGAGGTCCCTCTCAGCCCTATTTTTCTATGACCTGGTGCTTTCAAGAAGATGAAGTCTTATGGTATGGCTGTTTATCTTGCTTTTTTGTTTCAAACTTTGGTTCCATCTGTCCCTTTTTTCCTACCGCCTGTTTCTCAGGCTGTAGTGAAATTGCCTCAGCTTTGGGAAGGGAATTAGCAGGAACTCTTTCTTTAAAGCTGTGTTGACTTGCAGAAGTAAATTACATGTTCCCAAATTTATCTTCTGTTTTTTCTCCTTTCTTACACTTTTTAGGAGTGACCCATGAAACCCGAGACTGTTCTTATGCACACTGGTACTTGTTTAAGGCTATTTTGAAAATGAGGCTTGTTAGTAGTTGGATTGTGCAAACAGGAATTGGAACATCTGGATTCTGTTTCATTTTGTCTCTGATTCACTGTGTGACCCTGGGCAAATAATGTAACCTCTGTGCCTGAATTTCCCCATCTGTAAATAATAGGAATAATACCTACCTCACAAGGGGAGGGGTTGGGACATATGTAATGGTCCTTTGAGATCTTTAAGTGAAAGGCCCTATAGACATATAAATTCTTCATTCTTGTTCAAATATTAAAAAACTAAATCAGGAGCAAGAACAGACCCCTGTCTTGAATGAGGAAGTCACATAAATAGGTTGTGCCTATGCTCACAGTTTTCTGTACAGGGACTTCCAAGTGTGTCTGTGCCACTACAGGTATAACTTAGTGGCTGTAATGAAAGCTTCACGCTTCCCTAGGTTCAACACTATAAATAAGAGATGTAGCCTTTAAATGAGTGTAATAGGGTAGTCTGCTTTGTTGCAGGTTAAGCATATCTGTTCACTCTTTTTGTACAGGTCTGCGCTCATTTTGCTGATCTACTGACCATTTGGTTGCAAATATCTCATTTGACAGTGCCGCCAATGCAGTGCTCAGCCTGTTGGGGCAGTCCAGTCCTGGTGTGAAAGCAGTGTAGCCAAATACTTCCTGCAGCTGTCAGCACAGAGAACCTGTGTGTTTACGTGCATGTAACTGGACTTTAAAAACCAGCATGTGAGGAAGAACTGTACATAAGGTTTTTTAGTTCTGTTTGAGGACTGAAACTAGCATGTTGCCATTAGTCAAGTGCACCTTTTTTCCAAGCAATTACAGTATGTTTTTGTGTAGAAAGGTCACATATTTCTTATTTATCACATTCCATGAAAAATTTTTAATGGCAGAATTACTTTCTGCCACGGTCCCCATTAAATGCTCCAGAGCTAGCTTTAATTGTGCTATACTAGGTGCTGAAGTTGGATAGACTGTGTAGACAAGGTGTTGTGATGTGGGACTAAGACATTTAAAAAAGAAAACTTACATTTCTGACTGTTTTGTTAAATGTAGAACTTAGCATTGTTGATTTCTTAAGCATTCATAGTTTTACTTTCCATTTCTGAAAAATTAATCTGTGATCCCGAGACTAGCAAAAAGACAAAACCCATCCAACAGATGATTGATTTTAATTGTGCTATAAATCAAGCTCAAGGAAGTCAAAGGGACTAAAAAGAAAGGGATTAAAACAGTCTGTTATTCAAAGTCTGCCTTACCATTTTAAAAAGACTGAAACAAAACAGGATCAGCTGTTCTTAAATGTAATGTTTTCTATCCAAAAAATATCGTTATAAATGTCATGGGGAGTATCATGTGCTCTGCAAAGGTGTCACCTGGAATAGCCCCATTTGAACAGAAATCTTTAAAATCCATTTACTTGCACGAAATGGAAGGCTACCTGTTTAGGTCACATTGTTTTAACTCAACCTGCTAAAGTTTCTGTAAGTTCACCAAGTAAACTCTAGGTTTCTGTCTAGTTCCCATCAGTCAAGACAGCTGGAAGAACAAGTCGTTCTGTCACCTCTTTTGCTTAAGAAAGTTGAGGATGACATATCAAACCCTCCTTGCCACTCTCTCTCTTTTAGATAATCACTTGGTGAAAGTGGTTATGTAGCTGAACAGTAAGAGCATCTTCACTAATACGGAATGGACGTTGCTCCATCAAATGGGTAGGACAGGTGACAAGGAGTCAAGTCAGGGTTTTCAAACTAGATACTGTTATTACAAAGCTGCTAGAAAGATTAGGTAGAAGCATAATGTTTGGGGTGTGTTTGTTTGTTTGTTGGTTTTTTTTAAACCCTCACTTGATGCAATTATCTTCATTGAATCTAGAACATGAATTAACCCGAGGCAGTCTTTGAGCATCAACCCATAACTGTCCTCCGGTGACTAACCTGAGGTATCAGGCAAGAGAAGACTGTTGTGGAACCAAGACTATTGACTTTAGTAGGTGGTAGGGTATTCTCTGACAGGCAGAGGGGGCTCTCAAGGCAAAGAGCTGTTTTACCTTAGGAATTCCCAAACCTCTCCCTATATCCATCTGTGCCATCCTGGCTTGAATTTGCTTCTTTCTTAATCTGTTGGTGTTTTTCCTTCCCACTTGTGTGAGGTGAGGTGTTCCACATCTCCAAAGGAATGCTCCACTGTAGTCCACTAGATAGTGAGAAGATGTGAGCCCGTCAGCTCACAAATCTTTTTTTCCTACTGACCACTATTATTCCCATTTTTCAGGGAGATAAAAGTTTCAGAATATTGTTCATTAACATACTTTTCTAGTAGTATTCTTGAGGGAAATAGTGAAAACATTATTTAAAAAAATTCCAATAAATGCATTGCTTCCTAAGTATCTGAATAAGTTGCACTTTTTTTTTTCTGAGAAAATTAGAAAAAGATAACATGAGAGCACAAAATCACTGAGCAGTCTGAAACGTAATGACAAAAGAATGGAGTAAAGTGTATCTAATTACAGGAGGATGGGGCAGTTTTTTAACTGATAGTAGTAATGAGATTGTAGCTGAGAGAAATGTTTGTGGTCTAGAAATATGCTTGTGCTTTTGTTTAGTCAGCTACCAGTATGGATCACTATGTAATTGATATGCTGATTTAGGAAATACAAAAAAGTTTGTTGACCCTTCAAAATATGCTGTTCTTGTAGCCTGTTTGGTTTTCCTGTGAAACTGGGGGGAAAGCACAGACATAGCAACCAGTGCAAAAAAATTATGATTTTATTTTATAAATTTCTACTGGTTTCACAGAAATTGAGTGTGGGACAAGTAGAAAGAAGAAAGCTTTTGTGTCAAAACTAAGGTGATTAAGTAGTTCTGGATTTTTTTTGCTGATACCGTTGCTTCTTACGGACTGCACAATGCTCTGTTTTACCAGCAAGCAGGTCTTGATCTCCTTTCAGTCCTTTTCAGAGGTGCAAATGTAACCTTTTGTAGGTATTTTCTCTCCAGATGAGTATTGCAGTGGATTGATATTCATTATGAGTCAGGAAACCTCAGTGAAAATACTCTTTTTGTAAAGGTTTTCTAAAAAAAGGAGTATTTTTAAAGTGAATATTTTGCTGTTGACGTAGAAAGACCTATTCTGGCTTGACATGTTTTTATGATGAAGTATTTTTCTGTACCTCTAGGAATGGGAGTAGTTGCCTTCCTCTTCATAGCATGCTGTTATCTTAAGACTTTGTGGACAATACTGCGTAGAGATGTTGCTTCGATATGTCACGAAACTGGATACCTCTCATTCTGTCGAAGGTGAGGCAGTAATGGTCGAGTAAAGAAAGGTCTTTGCCACCTGGAGTGTTCTGTTAAATAGAACATGACAGGAAACCTCTCATCTTGAGTCACCTTTCTAGCTTGAGCTTAACTTTTATTTGGAATTTAATTAATCTCTGTGGGATTAATGTGGGAGCTGGAGTCCCTTTAGATGTATGGAACCAAACCTAATACTGTATCCCAAAATTCAGTGACAGCCTGTTACTTTTGTAAGTAATTTTAAACCAATTATAATGGGCTTGTTTCTTTTGGATTTTTTTTTTTTAAATCTTTCTTCTTGGAAAAAGTGCTTATTGCTTTCTAACCTTTTTCATTATTTTGGAAATGTTCTCAAGAACTCTTACCAATTCTGTGTTGAATAAGGAGGTTTGTATCTTTCACAGTGATTTAGGCCCTCCTTTTGGCTTTGCTTTTTTTGGTATGAAACAAGAACATCTATATTTGGAAACTAAGATTTCTGATCCTTATCCTGTCACTGCAGATCAGTTTCTTAGCTTCCATGCTTTTAAATCACTTAAGACTACAATTTGGATAAAACTGGACAGTAAGAGTGAGGGGATAAACATGTTTTAAAATGTGTTTGCGAACAAGCAATAAGAACACCAAATATGGGAACCAAAATATACTCATGCTGTCACAGAGCATAACTTTCAGACTTCATAAACATTTGGTTGATTATGTAATTAGGGTACCTTTAGGAAAGAATGCCTTCCAATGTTTTTCTGTTACGTTTACTATTTTAAGATTAGACTGTGATTAAGATTAGAATATGGTGGTTTTCACAGTATGGTAGCTAGCTGGACAGAAAGGATTTTTACCCAAATTTGTCTCTCTGATTTTTTCCTCTATTTTCAGTCAAGTTTGTGGTTTAATTTTTTTTTATTATTTTATTTTTTTTTGGTGTGTGTGTGTGTTTAACAAACAATACAGTCTTCTTAAGAAGAACTTAGGTTTTATTGGTTCCTTAGCCTTACTTTCGTGGTTTCACAAGGCAGTATGGAAATGAATTCATGGCTTATTCTGCTGCTCCCTCTATTGAACACACTAGTAGAAAGTCATATGCTGCAGTTAAGATGTGCATTTGCTTTTGGTTTTTCCCATGCTGAGTTTTTTTTCAGCAGCTCTGCTATTGGTCAGAGATGGACACAACTTCTGAAATTACCTATATCAACTTTATTTTTGTATGTCGAAAGTAGTCACTGCCAGGCTAATGAGGTATGTGTGCTTGATTAAAAAGTAGTTTGTCACTGGTGACTGGGTGGTGGATCTGATGTAGCTACCAGGATTATTATTATTCCTCTCTAACAAGGATCTCTCTTTTTGCTACTGGAAAGTCTCCAGCACTTCATCAGTGTTTGTACACAAGAAATACATTTTATCTCCTTCTGTACATGTGTGAAAAACCTCTTACTTTTTCTGACCAGGAACATAATTTTCCTACTAAGAATGGCTTCTTGGACTCTGTGTTTTTGTTCGTTTTCTGTTTGTTTGGGGATGTTGATTATTTTTGGTTTGTATTTTAAGCCTATGAAATATATATATGTCTGAGGTGCATCCTGTATTCCTAGGTGCCTTCCATCTCACGTGTTTCCTTGCTAGGAGCTGAGTTTTTTGGAGGAAACTCCTGGTTGTAGCTTTCAGTACTGTTCTTCATCACACACCAGGCCAAATACCAGAACAGTGCTCATGTGCTCCCAGTTAGAGATGTGCCCACACCCCTCTGTGAAGACATGTGCTATCACTGGCTCTCAGTGTCTCTGTTAGAATTTTGCCCCTGCCCCATCTTTATTGGTTATTTATTCTTGTTACCAAAGTAACAAGCCTAAGACAGAAAACAATACATATTTTAGGTGTGCTTTGACCTAAAAGGTTTCCAAGCTAGAAGCATAAGATACAACTGGGTGAAGTGAAAGTGGAGGTTGGCAGGAAATAACAAATAAGAATGAAGTTATCCTTCTTAATGTAAGTCAGAGAACAGAGCTGCTTGGTAATCTGTTGGCATCATTGGTCATTTGGGTCCCAAAGAAGAATTTGAGGAATGTGTAGTCACTTAATGTGTAGTTACTTAATTTCATAGAATGGTTTGGGTTGGAAAGGACCTTAGAGATCATCTAGTTCCAGTCCCTCTGCTATGGCCAGGGACACCTTCAACTAGACCAGTTGCTCAAAGTCCCATCCAACTCATCCAGTTTCTGGTTGGTTTGTTGTATTTTACCCTGAGCTACCTCATTTATAGAGATAGAATGGGAAGAAAGTTCAAGTTTTGGTAAGAATTGCACTAAGTAAGCAATTGAGGCTGGAATGAGATGGGAGAGCAGAGGCAAACACTGCGTTTGGCTCTTTGATGTGCAAATTCCTGATGGAGAAATAAAACCAACCGTTTGGTTTATTAAGATTATACTTTCTTTATAGATTGGTGTCTCCAAAATAAACAATAAAGGACAAGGCAGGGCATTTTTCATGATGATTTCTGATCTGTGGAAGAGTTGATTGTCCACAGACCAAAAGGTGGTGATTTCATATTGGTCACTACTGTTTTTACAAGCAACAGTCTGTTTTTTTCAGAACAGATTTTTTTTTTTTTTAATTATCTCATGTGCTCTTAAAATGGATGTACACATGATCCTGATTGTTTTCCTGTATTTGCAGTCCTGTTTTCCTAATGTATCAGCTCCTAATAACAGTCCTTACTGTGTCTGAATGCTACTAATGTGCAGACAATATAGCTGATATTAAGAAACTATGACACATTTTTAGTGTGCAGTGTAGTGGATTCATAAGCTCAGCTTGAAGTGGACTACTGTGAGATCTGTAGCTGGTGGGTCAGATGGATGCACAGCTAGCAAAAAAGGGCTTAGAACAAATCTGCAGGAGGAATGCCAAAGTTTTATTTGCTTAAAATAAGCAATTTGAAAAGTAATCATGGTGGGGAAAAAGGCCTTTCATTATTCAGAAATACTTTTCTAGGATCTTGTCCATGCTCTAAATTTTAGCAGCCAGGATAGCTAGAGAAACTACATTGTGTTCAAAAGTTTTTGGCTGAAACATAAGACTAGAATAATGCATTTTAAATATGCTATTTCAGAGTGATTGATGCTGTCTCCCTGTTCTATCTTTGTTTCACTTCAGATTTTTCTCAAGAACAGATGTTGAGGTTGGATAAAACTAACCTCCTTGTCTGGGGAGACATATTTGTCTGAAAAAAAGAAACATTGTTCTAGGCGTGTGCTGATGCTTTTGTGTCTCGCAGTCTTAGCAGGAGAGATTATAATGGAGCAGGAAGACATGCTGGTGTTTTTCCAAGCTTTGTTGATAAGATGCTGCTAACAGCAGTTAAGTTTCAGAACAAACATGGCCTCTGATTGCTGTGTGGCATAGCTCCGTTGCACACTGAGCTTCTTGAGGTTTTTCTATTCCTTAGGTTTTTCTGGAATTTGTGAATGTGGCCACTTCTCAGCTCGGGTAATGTCTTTGCTCCCAGGCCTAGTCAGTGTCTCAAAATGAGTTGTTACTGTCGGCTGCCCAAATATTCACATTAGGCTTGTTGTAGTAGGAAGAGTTCATATTTAGGGTAATTACTTTTCAAGTTAAAAGGGAAGAGACCTCAATTCAGAAAACTCTTCATCACATACTTAAACATCACTGAAGTCAGTGGAATGTGTCTGTGGGTCAAAATGCACAAGACCTCGGTTCAGCAAAGCTCTTTAAGTTGGGGGATTGTCCTATAGAGACCAGTGGTGAAGGACCAGGCTCTTTACTTGGATTGCCAGAGAAAAGAGTCAGTTAACCTGAGGAAAGAGTTCCTCAACAAGCTTCTGGGTAAATGCTGGTTTGACTGCTGACTCTTGTGGCCTTTCCATGACTGCACATGCCATGCCTATTTGACTGCTAATTCTTACCATAAGCAGGGTAAGCATTGAGAATGTTTTCTGACATAGGATGAAAGAGCAACAACTTCTGCATTAGCAGATTGATATCTGTAAAGGGGCAGTTAAGTGGTGACTGGAGATTGTGTGTGCAAATGGCAGTTTAACCTGGGGCCATTTCTCTGGTGTTTGTTCTCATTTTCAAAATGCATCCCTCCAGGCTGGTGGACAGACATGACAAGGTTCAGCAGTGATCAACATCCACCACTTCACTAGAGTTCTAGGGTTCTTGTCTGTCAGCTGTTGGCACAGCACTTTGTGCTGCTGTATGTGAATCCTTTCTTGTAAATTCACAACAAGCTAGAAATATCTGAGATATTTTGCCTCACTCAAGTTGAGAGGCTTAAATGGAGTGGCAGGCAGCAGTGGTGGAAAAATCAGGGAAAATACCTGTGCTTTTAACAATGTCTTTTCTGTGGCTTTGAAAGTTCAAGAATTTCTCAGCCAGAGAATGTATTTCCTCCCTCTTTTTATAAGCTACTTCTTTCTTTTGCCTTATTATTTGTGGATCTTCTCCTGCTTCTGTTTAAAGCCAGATGCAAAAAGCAGTGACCTGACTTTCCTAGGTACAATGTTGTAAATCTGAAGAACCAGGTGAGTAGATCTCTTTAGTATAAGATCATGCCCCATGTTTGATCCTTTGAGATATGAGGTAGTTCCTACTTGTGTTGAAATCACTGTGTAGAGGATGTTGGGTACTTCATAAAGAACTCCAAACTCTGTAGGACTGAGATTCATCTTACAACTCCAGTATTTCAGTCTGGTTTTGGAGACCTCTCTGTGTCTTCTCTTCTGTTTATGGTGTTGAAAAGTTTGTTGCTATGGAAGTAGCACCTGAAGGTATATTTTGCCTGAAGAACCTGCAGTGAAGCAGTTGCATTAGCAAATGGCAATGTACCCCAGAGTTGAGTAAAATAACAGAGGCCACCAAGTTTTTCTTGTTTGTGTGATGAAATGTTGTCAAATTAAGTGATTCGTTGGAGCCTTCCTTTAACTTCTGTACAGCAGTAAGCTTAGAGGAAAAGAGGATTGCATTATTTTTTAAAAAGCTTTATTTGTGACCTGGACTTGTTGCCTCTGACCCTCTTGGGCTTAAATAGTTAAATTATATTAATGTCCGGTTTGTTTCACTGTAGGTAACACATCAACTGAATACTCTTGTGCATAATCTACTGTATCTTTCCTCTGTTCCGTGTCAATGTATTATGTGTATTTGGATTACAGTTCTTTTTGTATTAAATTATTTTATGTTATAGAACAATATTTAAGCGAAGCAAAGAGCTATTGGAAGTTGTTGGCGTTTTGGGATTTCTTTTCTCTTTGCTCTTTTTTTGGATGTACTGTAAATTGTAAACCAAGGATGCCAAGCAGGCTTGGTTCAATGGCTAAAATTATTGTATTACAGTGTAATGCTGATCTAGGCCTTGTCTCAACACTAGAGCACACAGACTTGAATAAAACTGTTATAAAAGTGATTGTCTTTAGGCCTTGAGTTCTTGGGTTTGTGCTTCAAACAATTTCAAGCAGATATTTAGAATAGCAGTGGCATTACCTTGCTCTGAGGATTTGAGAATTTTGCCCAGTGCAATAAGAAGCTTATTTTTCTTTGCTAGGTATCTCAATCCTGATCAACTGTTCCAGCTCTGGGTCCTCCATAGGGCTTTTGAAATGTTTCTGGAAAACCCCTGACAGTTTAGTACAAGTCTTGGCACACGGTAACTGTCTGCTAAACTCCCTTCTGGCTTTTCTCTGAACCGGGTAATTAATTGCATACCATTTTTATTAAGGCTAATATTTCTGTTCTGTTAGCTTGAGATTTTTCTACTCTTTATTTAGTATTCCAGCCAAAATGTGAATCTTAATGCCTGAATCTGAAGCTAATGCAGTAACATGTTTTGTGCATGTTGACATTTAACAGATGGTTTAGATTCGCTTCTATTGCTGTGCCTTTGTCCCTGCCACGTCATTCAGTGAGACACATTTGCAGGAACAAGGATCTTTCCAAGCTGTCTTTCATCTGCTGTAGGTGTGCAAGCCAAAATAACATGGTTTTGATTCCTAGGTCATGTGTTTGATTCCCAGGTTGTACCTTTGCTCTTCTCTGCCACCAAGCCATCATTTCATGTTTCTCTGCTTAAAGAAATGTACCTGTACTGATGAACGACTATGCACTACAAGAACTTAGGTTTCATAATTTCCTTTGAAAAAAGATTTTTTCTAATGCAGGTATGTGCAAGAAATCCCAACAGCCTTCCAACAGATACAGAGACTGAACAATGCATAGGTAGGTACCTTCAGTCATATATTCCATTCAAACTGCTGTAGTGTTGCTTTGTGATAAACTGGGAGGAAAGTGGACAGGCAGTCAATTTAGTTAGAAATAATAGCATGCAAAATGAGTCGCTTTTTCACTTGTTACAACAAAAGGTATCTTGCAGTGTTTTGTCTTTCAAACTGTTTTCCCACTCCTTCCCAAATCCTGCCCATCTGAAACTGAGTATTTCTGCCTTCTGTAATGTTCTGCAGAGTAGGATTCTCTCCTAAAAGAAGCAGATTTTCTAGCTGAATTCATTCCCCTGTCACAACCACAAGGTTACCATAGTGTTCAAGCTGCCCTCAGCAACAAAAATCTACATGCATCATGGCAGATACCTTTCTGCCAGCAACTGCAGCATCTGCAGACCATGGCAGAAACACAAAGCACTGGGACAGAGTAGAAAAATAAAATAGTTTTCTAAGCAGTGGAATCTAACCACTTCTAGCAGAGAGGGAACATCTTAAATGAAAGCTGGCAGGGTCAGCATGGATGCAGAATGAACACACCAGCAGATGCTTTAGGCTGAGTAGCTTCAGTTTTTCATTGGTTGATGTGTGGGCAAGTGTTGGGCATAAAAGTTCTACAGTGATCTACAATTTGTATGTAGGCCTTTAGCTATGAATGCGCTCAAGTGAGGAAATCATGGATTACATTATGTTCCTCAGATGGTACGTGCTGAAATAATAGATTTAAGTGGTGCTACTTTGATGAAACTTGCAATAACCTTCCAAGGCTATGCAAAGGGAAAAGAGGGCAGGCTTTTCTATAGTATGCAGCTCATATGATGAATTAGTCTGCTGTTTCTAGTGAAATTTTGATATTCTTGGCCCTTCTGACAAGCAAGGAAAGGGAGAGGATGTCCTGCTAAAGCTAGGCTTAACAATTGTAATTAATTGTAAGATGCAAAGTATGTAGGCATATTGGTATCAGACTCAAGAAGACTAAGCTTTAGCAAAAATTCTGGAGTGAATACGGCAGCAACAAACGTCAGTATCTTAACAAGGGTTAACAAGCTTTGTCTTCGTGCTTGGGTACAATGGACACTGCAGTTTCCTTTGGCAGTGAAAGAGGAAATAATTGTGACTAAGGATTGGACAAAGCTCTGGAGCTTTCAAGTAGACTTCAGCATGCTTTGTGGCTCTTTGCTACTTCATCTGAAATCTTATTAAATGGCATGTGATTTACTTCTGTGAAGTCCTCATTAATTTAAAAATGAACTAATCTGAGTGGAATGAAAAGAGGCAGGATCAACTGATGGCATTCCAACACAAAGTACAACAAAACCATAATCGCTTTACTAAATATAACCGAAGTGCATACACTTCATGCTTGCAAAATTTGCTCTGAAATTTATTCCTTTCTCCCCAAATCATGCTCTAGTATCTTAACTTTATAACAATTCATGGGTTTGAAATTTAAAAAAAAAAAAAAAAAAGGCATGCATGGGGTTATCTGTCACAGATTGCAGCCCGTATTTAAAGAATCGACTCTCATGGATGTGAATATCATCCTCTCCTACAGGGACCCTGAGGCAGCAGTTGGACAACTGGACATTGTACATTGAGCTTACTATTTTTGCAGCAGTTTGGCATTTTTGCTTTTGGTGATCTTCCTGCAATTGTATCTGGCCATTTACTTCTTCTACAGATACCTCCAGATCTTGCAGGTCTTAGTTGGAGGTAAAAAGATCTTCTAAGCTGGTGTGCATTATGAAGGAGAATTGCTTCTTGATGATGACTTGTGACTGGAGAAGCTGGGGCAAAGGAAGAGGTCTCAGACTTAGGGGGAAGGAAGAAGTCAAGAGGTGAAAGGTTTCTTTATTCTTGTCTGCCTTCAGTAGGGAAAGGATGGCTGGAACAGGAACCAGCACTGAGGAGAATGGGTTGGGCCCTGTTGGGATGCTACAGGAAATAAGGAGAAACCAGCAGTTTCTACAGAAGAGGAAATACTCTGGCTGGTACCTGATCATGCAACTGGTTTCCAACAGCAAAAGAGAACATGGGGTCCCTGAAATACTGATCTGCTCACAGTGATTTTGAAGCCAGAGGGAGGATGTTTCCAAGAAAGACCAAACCTACACTTTTCACACCCTATCTGGTGTGAAAGAGAGGTAGAATTTGCATCTCTCTCTGTTTTTGAGGGTAGAAAGGGTCAATTCCTAGAGTGACAAGAAGCAAGTATGGCAGGAGAGAGATGTCCCATCATCAGCTTCAGGTCTTAATCCCTGTTGAACTCAGAACCTTGTCTCTGTAGGCCTGGTTATCTCACTGCATCTTCCAAACAAACAAATGTCAGTGATGTCTCTGGGCAGGCAGAACCTTTTAGGCCAGCTCTGTAGCATACCTGTAATTTCTGCTACTTCTACATTTGTTGTTTCTATGCTGGTGTCAGGACAATCAAGTCAGCTCTGAAATGATTTTAAATTTGGACCTGTCCAAGAAAAAAACTAAATAAATCCCCTCCTTATTGCATCAGTAACATTGCAAACTCATGAGCAGAACTTCCAGGTATGCTTCCAGCAATACTAGTTTAAAAATTTTATTCTACTCATCTAGTCAACCCATTTGTATAGTTGACAAGAAGTGAAGGTTTTCTAAACAACCTGGTGGCAGTTATTGGTGGTATCAAGGTTATACCTGTAGTGTTTGGGTTTCCTTAATTAGGTTTTTGTGTCAGTGTGCAGCAGTGTCAGGTACTGCTCTGTAAGAAAAGGTGAGCTGGAGCAAAGGGTGGCAGCAGGGCTGTGGCCGCATGGGTACAGTCCCAGGGTACCTGAGCAAGGTGAACAGAGCAGATCAAGTGACAGTAACCAGGGCCAGCCACTGTCCAGTGATTCAGGCAAGTCTGTAGGGATAAGACAGGTCCAAGGTCAAGCTAGGAAGGCAGAGAGGTAGAATTTGCATCTGGGTGAGCAAGGTATCTCGGCAGGATCATAATTTAGCTGAGGCAAGGACTGTGGGCAAGAAAACGTGCCTGCTTGGTGAAGGTGGGGAGTCTGTGATGAAATTTCTCAGAGCTCTTGTCCCAGCCAAAGACACACAGCTCTATCTGAGCTGAGTGGGAGCCCAAGCAGCCAAACTTGTAGAAGGAGAAAAGACGTTACAGAGGCTGTTGGGCACCCAAGGGGGGCAGATACCTATTCAATGACAAAATGCATTAAAGTTCATAATTATCTTGGGGTTTTTTGTTCTATTTCTGCAGTTCATCATTGTAATCACGTGCAGTTAGAGGATGAGAAGGAGGACCAGGACTCAGGGCCTTTTACTACCACTGGGGATTTCAGAACCTCAGCTTTTGCCAAGTCTGGTGGAATTAGTAGTGCTTAGTATCTGTAGTACAAACAGCTGAGATTCTCTGCTGACCACCTTCTTCTCTGTGCAATCTTCCATCTTTATACTCCAAGCTCCTTTTCTGCAGTCACGTAGCTTTCTCTGGAGCAGTCCATCATAACTGAGTTTGTCAACTGTTTGTCTCACCTGGTAGCAATTCTGACATTAGGACCACTTCTTGCAGTCACGTATCATCTCTTCTGGGTTAGCCTGAAGTATTTTTCCCTTCACAAATTATGTGCATTGTAGGACACACTTTTTCTCACAAATTGTACACATACCTCCAAACAGTACTATTTCAAGCCATATTCTTCGCTCTCCTCCTGCCTGGAGACATGGACAAGGAATCAATATTATCTATTCTTAATTCTGAAATGGCATCACAAAAACTTAGTCTTCAGGGTTCTTCAACTTAAACAGCTATCAGAAAAACAGATGTCTAACTCTCAATCACAAATTATTTTCCATCCAACTAAGCGTGGAACAGATTTTTTAAAAAATGTTGTTGGGCAGTGCAAAACGGAAAGTGTGTATGGAAATTAGGAATTTGCTGTAATAATCTGCTTAATAATTAAGTCTTTTCTGGACTTTTTTAAATGCAGTTTTCAAGATGTAAATGCTAGCTAATACCTCTCAAGAACAGTTTTGCTTTCCTCATCTAAACCATTCAGTGATTGGATAACAGTTGGCAAGCTTTCACATAAGCCAGGGGCAGAGTTTTGGGACCATGTGGCAAAGGGAATCTGGGGGCCTGGCCAGCTCTGTGCAACTCCTGTCTCATCCCACAAGAGATTCCCCTCAGGCTGTATGGCACATCCAAACAGCCTTA